AAGTACTCTAAACTGTATAAATAATGTAAAATTAAATTGAATTTATTAGCCAATCAGACAAACTTCTGCCTATGAAGACTATGCGCATAAAATATTTTCACTTATCGAACAGGTGTTGACTATATATCAAAAACATCACTTGATTGTTAAAAAATAAATTATATTACTATGGAATTACTAAAAATAATCAATAATCAAATAATTAGCATTAATGATCTATTATATGTTAAAGACCTTTACTCAATATCAATAAATTTGGATTATTTGCTTCCTTTTACATCTAAAGTAAAAAGTATTACAAAATTTTTAATAAAAAATAGCAATGACCGTGTCTGGTTAGGGTTTACTTTTTTTGATGCATTTAGGGTTATGTAGTAGTTTATAAAAATAAATAGCAAGAATACAATTTATGTTATATATGTTGTAAGTGGGAACGGAATTTAGGTAGATTTAGAATTTCTTAATAAAATTACAAATTTTTTTAGAGTACAATTTATTTCATATAAACCTATGCTCTAACTCTAAATCCTCCCAATTCCATTTACAACATATATGCAATATGTAGATCAATATGCAATTTCCAATTTGGTTGAATTATATCATAAATTACTATATTTAGTAACAAAATACAAAACAATAAACGTGTCAAAAAAGAAGTATTTAATCATTTTTAACTTAATGTTTTTTTATTTTCTCTTTATAAATTAATCCTTTTACCTGAAATAAATCAAATGCGATGGATTTTTCGTGTTTTTTGAAGATGAATTCATTATAAATATGCTGGTTGCTTGGATTTATTTAAAAAAAAATTCGAAAAGAATTTAAAAAACAACAAAGCTTTTTTGGGCCTTTTATTTAATAACCGTTTAATAGTGTGGAAGGTATTGTTTACGTTTTTTTAGAAGACAAAACAGCTAAGCAGTTAAAAGAGCCAATAGCAGCCTTTTTTTTTAATAGTTAGCTCTTTTATATACTTGTTTATTGAGGCCTTGGTTAATATTTCATGTTATTAAACGCTATATTTATTGTTTTAAACCTAATTATAAGATATAATGCTATGTGGTAACTAGAATGTTAAGCTAACTGTTTAACTAAAACCAGGTACTTTTTTAGATAAACATTATTATTTTATTAATGCATAGTTTATAAAAAACTTTTTTAAATGCATAATTTTGTTTGTTTTCAATTTATATAGAATTTATAAATTTTTATTTTTCTAAATGCAAGATTTTTGGCCGTCTTACGGTTATACATTTAGAAAGGTTTAACTATATATATATATATTATTATTATTTTGTTTACATTGTTGTTTGTTTCTTTTTACTAACCAAATTTATTTTAGAGTACAGTTTTTAATATAACTATTATTTGCCAGTTTTGTCGCTATTGTTGTTATTAAATTGAAGTCAAAGTTATTATTGGTTGGTGCAATTTTTAAGCTTTCATCATTTTAGTATCATTATTAAAAAGATTTTGACTTTTGTTGTTTTGATTTTGTTATTAATAAATGTGATGGTGGTTAAAGCTAAATTTTGATTTATTTTATTATGAAAATTTAAAAGAACTTTTTTTTTTTTAGAATTAGAGATCAACTTTGAGTAGAATTTATAATACAATAATAAACAAGTAAAAGTAGGTTTTATAAATCTAAAACCTTCAAATCTTCAGCCAATTTTAGCATTATCTTCAACAATAAGGATTTTCTGTTTTTGCCATTTTGGTGTCATCGTCAAAACGATTTCATCTTATAATGTCATTATTAGAAATTTACCGGTGCATTTCATTCATATTGTTGTTAGAATTTACTATATTGATGTGATTTTTAGTGCTTTTAGCGTTAATATTGGTGCATCGTATTAGATCAAGTATTTCTAAAATTGTACATAAAAGTAACTCTAATACTCAAATATATTTTAGCAAGATTTGAATAAATTTGATTAAATAATTCATTTAAAAAATTTTTTTTGCATGTACTAAATTTAGTACAATAGCCAACGGATACCCATTAAAAAAAAACGGTTAGGGTTGAATGTTTAGCTTTACCGCTTACTAAAACTAAAAGCACAATACGTCAAGACTTTGTCTTTAAGTCACATTAAAAAATTAAATAAATAATACATAGTGCAATTAAAACTATGCACTTCATTGTGTTATTTGTCAGGCTAAGCTCAATAAGTCATAAATTTCAAAGCCTAAAATCTTGTTTTTACTAACCTAATAATACTTAAATAGTGGCCAGTAATATTTTTCATAAAGTATAATAGATTAAAAATTGCAAAGCGCATTACGGTATCACAGGATACGTGCCTGCCATATAACCTGATTTTAATATTCTTAAATATTGAATTATAGACAAATAATTATTTTGATTAGTAGTTATAACTCAGAAACAGCTTTTAATTCAATAACTTTCTAAGCTTTCACTATCAATCCATATAATAATATATAGAATATCAATATTATCTGATATATAATAATACTAATTCCTCATCAAAGTTCCATTAATTCTTCCTCTTTGATTATTAACTCTTCCTCTTTAACCGATTTAAAATTATCAACCGATGATTTGAGTATCCATTTTACTAACTCAGGTATATCATGACATAATTGTAATATCCTAGTCAAAACTGAAGTAGTGTCATTAGTGTTACCTTTATCTTCCCAAAGTGGATTTGGAGAAAAAACAATAGGCTCAGAATTTACTCGTATAATAGTAATCTGTAGTAAGATATCTGTCATAACATTTGGTAACTGAAATGATACAGATAATGAATGAGGTGGATTTGTTGCTTGAACTTTAATTTGAACTTTTGTCAAATTAGAATCGACTTTTAATAATAATTTTTTTGTAAATAGAATATAAATTAGAAAAGGTTTAAGTAACAAATCTTTTTTAAAAAACATAGGAAAGTAAAGAATATGTATCAAACCTTCGAAAATGGTAGTAGATGATTGTTTCTGTGAATAATCAGTGGAAGAATTAAAACAACTTTGAAATAGAGCATTATAAACAAGTTGTTGTCGTAATATCTAGTAAACACAATACAAAAATATAGCTATTAATACATATTATTCATATTATTAATATTATTAAATCAGATTAATAACTCATGACTATGACAAACCTCAGTAAAACTATAAATTTGAAAAGGATAAATGAAAGGAATACGCTCAATTTTTTTAGCATTCGTTTTTTTGGTATCTAAAATATATATGTGAGAATAGGGAGAATCTTCAAATTTCTATTAAACAAAATAATAATTACATATTTAATAGAATAAAAAAAGGAAACAAAAATCATATTAAAAGTGACGTATACTTTTTCACAACTAATATTCATCATAGCTGACCCATGAGCCATTTTAACTGGTGGAACTATGTCTGATATCTACAATTACAATTACAATATTAGTTTATTTATATTAACAAGAAAGTGAGTTGATGGAGTTAATGGAGTTGATGCAAGCTGATAATACATACCAAGAGTTCTTCCAAAGATAAACTATTGGGATCATCTGTCGTGATTCTGCTCCCAAAAAATCCTGGCATAAAAAAACAAATTAAATCTTCAATTTCTTTGGCCACTGTGTCAGAAATGTATACTGGTGGACAAAGCCGTAAAACAAATTGTATGTTTGCAGACGTATGTGATCCATCTTTTGGCTGCTGTATGAACTTCAATGGTGTTGGAAGCAGTGGAAATGTAAATTCTTGGGGCATAAAGTCATAACTTATATAATTATATGCGAGAAGTTTGATTAACAAAAACTAACCATGTAAAACAAGTAATATAATGCCAAGTAAATAAATTACCTTTCTAACAACTCAAATACATTATCACTTTCTTCAATTAAATAATGATTTCTCTCGATTGGAAGAAAAGTATTTCTTGATCGAGACTCTTCCATCATAATCCATAGTTGATAGAATGAACTGAGACTCTCACAATTGTCACCTAAAATCAAGTATTGGTATTTTTAATCTATAAGAATGTAGAATATAATAGAAAATAGATATATAAAGTTGTTACCTTTCGCGACAATATCTTTAACATTATTCCAATCTGTTTCACAAATGCGAGATTTGAGCGCCCAATAAGCAATAGAAGGACCAACTCGCTCCACATGAAACAATGGGATTCCATGCCCATTAGTTAAAATTTTTTGGATATCACCACCCAAAGCAGAACTGGTGCCAACATAAACAATAAGAAAAGAAATATCTTAGCATTCAATTTTCAAAATAACATAGTTAAATTATATAATCGTTATAAATTATTAATAGAACATACAATTCTTTTTCATATATTGACTTGATATCATTAGATATGCATTTTATACAGTGAAAACAGTCCACATTATGTATTTTATATAGTGTATCTAATGTTGCCAGTGCTTGAAGATTTTTTTTGAACAATTTAAAATACCGGAAATTGCTTATATAGTAATCAAATATTAGAATCGATATTCAAAAAAAATACATCAAGTTAAGGAAATTTACCTCAGTTGTAGTGTCAGCAGATTATCAATCTTTGCAGATATTATGAAAAAATGTCAATTGAAGATGGTGATTATAAAACTTGCTGCATTATAAATAATAAATAAACCCACGCGATCGTCATCTTTAGGTGTGTATGTGTAAGTAATTGTGACTTGAACTATTTTATGTGCTGTCTCATCAAATTTGATCTATATAAAAATTTATAAAAAAAAAAAAAGAAAACTCGGAAATTAATGTTTGAAAACATTGGAAAAATATATTATTCTTGTAGGGGCACTAGAGAACACTAACTTAATATTAACTTACTTACGTCCACTACACTAATAGATCCACTTATCGATAAAGTAAGTGTAGAACCATGACTTTTTTCTGCTTCCCACACCTTAAGTCTAATAACATTAAGTTAGAAAATAAGATAGGTATGAAGATAGAATAACGCATCGAAGACACACCCAAGTTGTTTACCAAAATCACTCGTCTGTTGAATTACGAATTTAAACGTGTCCTGACTATTTTGACATGTATCTAAAGCTAATTCTTTACAGATCTTGATATTTTCTCGAACTTCAGAAACCGTATTGAGACGAACTGATTCTTCCTTATAATTAAATAAGGTAAAAAAAAAAAAAGCCTATGCGAAATACATGAGCGACTCTATTAAGAAATTTTAGTTTGTTTTTTTTTACCTGTAAAGCCAATTGATATCTTTTTAATAATGAATCAGTTCCAGTACTCAAATTGAGCGATATATCTTGTACAGTTGTATTTCGAAAATTAGATATTGTTGAACGTATCAAAGCAATTTTTTGCGAGAATTCTGTAGATAATCCGACTATATTAATAGGCCCAAGCGGATGAACGGCTAAAAAACCAGTTGACAGCCAATTTTATCAAATAAACTCATATTTAATACATTTAACACAACTAATAAGCGGTACCATTAGCAACAGGAGCAACCGTTTTAAGCTTGTCATTAACAGTCCCCTGCCCTGTTAATGAAATACCCCATTGTTCCTGCGCATTTTTAATTAAACTTTGTAGTTCGCGAAGTAAAGTATGAATTTTCTTTTGATCAGACTCTGTCATTTGTAAAAAAAAAAAAAAAAGTTTCGTCTGTATGTGAAAAAATGTTAATTTCATAACATAGCTGGCTTTAATTCTGATTGGTCAATGCACCATGTAGATCAATTTTATGCAGTCATCTCTATCCAAATTATCCAGAATAATCGTTATTTTTGCTGAATCATATTGAAAGATTTATGGAATTGGTTCTAAATTTATTTTTTTTAATGTTAAGTACTTGCGATTCAGGATTTTATTGATATTATGTTTCAGTTAATAGCTGTTTGTACAACAATTACAGGGAAATTATAGAAAGAATGTACAACTAGTCACTCATATAACTTCAGTCATTGTCTAATTTAAGGGAACCGTTAAAGCCAATCTTCCCCAGTATCGCCACCAAAAAGTTGCAGTCCCGTGACTAATGCAGATCATCAACCAATCAAATCGATGATTGTAACTTGTAAATTTTTTTACGATTATCAATGACACGCTTTCATATAATGATAACGCACTTATTATAACACACTTGTAATAACGCCCTTGAAGTAGGAATGAGTAATACCACTAATTTTTGCTACTAATAGAATTTTAAGGCTTTCTCGTGGTATTTTTGGAATTAGAAAATCCTGTTGCTCTCTTGATCGATCTTGCTTTCTAGTAACTTACAAAAGGTTTGAAGATTGATAGTATGTACTTATAAATCAGTTTAAAAGAAATATAATAGAAATATAACATTTAATTTATTTTTAATAGTGACCTTGATGAGAATAATATTTATTAAGAGTGGTTTTAATGAGATCAATATTTATTAAAGTGATTTTGATATTAGTATTTATTAAAAGGCTTTGATCAGTAATATGTTCAAATTACTAAAATAAATATTTATTTATTAAAAAGATGTTGAAATCTACAAATAATTAAAAGAATTTTTGGTTGGATAATAATTATTGTTTTTTTTTTATCATATAAGTTATATTGTGTTAACTATATTTATATTAACCTAAAAATTATATATTGTGTGTGTGCCTTTTTCAGATTAAGAGCATTGTTCTTTTTTTTTGATATGTTATAATTTCTTTTATCATTTTATCAATAAAATCAAAATTTTTTTTTACATTTTTTGCTCATTGAATGTTTTTAGCTTGTTTTTGTTCTTCAAGAAGTATGAATGTTTTCATTATTAAGTTTATTAATTCATCAAAAATATTATTATCATCATCATTCAACTCATCTTCCTTATAAATATTTACAATCTTATCATGCATAGTAGTTGATTCTTCAGCAAGATCTTATACATACTTGGAAATAAAAGGTGGCTGATGGTTTCTTTTAATCTGGTTAAAGAATTCTATTGGAACTGGTTCTTTTTGTTATACAAGATGCTTGCAGATATAAAATCTGCTTGTTAAAAAGTATGAGCATTCATATACTTATTAATTTAAATTGGTTAAGTAGATTTTGTTAATTTCATGATTTGTCAATTTTTTTCATTCTAATTTAAATACTTTAATCTATTCAAGTTTTTTTCTTTCAATTTAGATTTGTTGAAGTTTTTGTAATTAATGAACTATTATTTTTGTTATTAAAATATATATTATTAAATCAAGACGAGATTGGAAAAACTTGTAAAGAAAATCTCTTTTTATTGTTTTCCAATGATCTTCCAAAAACATTGTAGTTTTAAATATTAACATTTTATTTTTACAAGAAGATTAGACCTATAATAATTATTTTTGTTTATTATATCATTTAGTTTACAAATAATACTAAAAAGATATTAGAGAATTAGTTTTACAAAAATTGTACATTTCCTGAACTGTATTTTTATATATTGTTTTTCCAATAAGAAATTTACCATCATATATAGGAATTAACAGATGTTAGTGAAAATGTAATTCAATTATTTTTCAAACAGCTTCATAAAGTTTTTTAGAATAAAATTTTGATGTCTATATAATATTTTCAAACAGGAATCATTTATTGATTTCAGATAGTAGATTAAAAGATGGTTTTCTAGAAGTTTTGTTGTTTGCTAACAATGTTACTATGACTCTCTTCATGTACCATTTGTATAGTTAAATGTTAATCCTTGGCTAAGTAAAACATGTAGCTTTAATTTGTGCAAAATCCTTGTCTATAAGGAAAAAATAAGAATTTATTTCTTTATCACATAATTTTAAAAGAAATTTATGAATTATGTTAGTGTGTATTCCTTCTTCACATTAATTATTATTTTCTAAAAAAAGATATGCCAAAGAAAATTCTATGTTATTTATTTTAACTTGAAAACTATATAGTTTCATTTTAAAGCTATTAGTATTATCTAGTAAATTATATATTTATATATCTTTTATTTATTTAATTTTTTTTTTAAATAGATACTTTTTTTATTTATAATTATAAATAACTTATATATTGTGTCAATACCACATTCAGACATATTAACATTGAATTGTTATAAATATTTATAAAGTCTTGTCATAATAACCAGAGTATATGGAGATGTTTCTTCAAAAATAATTTTATATTAATTTTCTTTAAGCTATTCTGTTGCTAATTTAAATACATCTTCATAATGCTTATATTGATTTTGCCCAAGCTCAGACCACCAATAGTAGACTTGCTTTTGCTAAATTGATAAATCTATATTTTTATTAACAAGATATGAATATATTTCTCGTAATAAGAGATCAATATTTTCTTCAATAAAATCTTTAACATTTTGAGGTACAATACATCTTTTGGTTTTTCATACAATAAATCATAGTTTATTGTTATATTTGCTATATTAATTATTAAGTCAAAAACAATTTTAATAGAGCTAACATAATTAAACCATTTCATAGATAGTTCATCACGATGTTTAAAAGGATCTTCATGTTTTTTTTGGTTTTTCTTTCAGAATGTCTTTTTGGAAGCAAAGATATCAGAATGTTATCTTAAGTATTCCTGAATAAATCTTATTATAAATCTATATATATTTATCTGCATTCTCAATTATTTCTATTAACTAATCTGCAATTTCTTTAGAAGATTTTTCAAATATAGAAATGTTTATTGCAAACTGAACAGAGAACAGTGTTATCACATTACTTGAACTATTATTATACTGCATTGAATACATGTCTAAGAGCTGTACAATATAGTCATAAAAAACATCTAGATCAATTACTTCCAATTTATTCAAATTCTCATAATTTTAATTTTATTCAATTAGAGGTTGTTTTCTCTTGGCGGATTTATATTTAGATAAACTCTTTCAATATTTATTGCAGGTTTTTTGTCTTGTCTCAGTACCATCTGCTTCAACTTTTATAAATTCACCAAGAGATTTTTGGTAAAAATATCTAGTACAAGTTGAAGTTTCTATTATAATTTTTAAAAAAATTATAAAAATTTGATATTAAATTAATTTTAATTTTAATAGTAATTTGATAATTTAACTTGAAAAAGGATTTAATTTGAAAAATAAGTAAAGATAAAATGTTTCTTTTTATATATTAACTCATAAAAGTACTAAATACTTTGCTTATTAAGTTTGCAATATTTTCTTGCTAATTTTGATTTCAACTAACATAGTATGACAAATGCGCATTATTCAGATGCATATACAAGTTTACATTAATGCATATTCATATATATATATAATTTTAACTTTATATTTAAACTTTTTTAATATGATATTTCTTTTAATTATTTAAGTTGTATATATTTAACTTTTCTTAATAAGTAATTTTTAAATATGCATATTAGATATTATATATATAAATATGAATTAACAAATATAAGTATAGCTGATCAAATTTCATTAATTTTGGACAAATTATCTCATTAGAGAGGAATTTTAATAAAATTTTATTTTATTTAAGTATAAAGAACAGTTATTTACCTAAGGATTTAAAGTAAGCTATTCAAGCTCAAAAATGTTAAATTTTATTCTATGCATATTAATTTAGATAAATATAAAAAAATATTTTTTTAAGAATTTAAAATAACTATTTAATTTCATAAATATTATTTAATTTTATTTATCCATATCATTTTTAGAGGCTAATGCAAAAAACATTTATTAAACTAAGTTATTTTAAGAATATTTATTATTTTTATTTTATATGTATTAATTTTAGAGAGTATAAAAACATCTTTTAATTTAAGAATTCAAAATAAGCTATTCAAATTCAGAAATATTACTATTACTTATGATGATTTAAGAAATATAAAAAAACATTTATTAATTTAAGATATAAAATTAGCTATTCAAGTTTGAGAATATTTACAATTTTTGTTCAATTGTACACATTAATTTTGAGAAGTATAAAAAACATTTATTAATTTAAGAATTTAATATGTTATTCAAGTTTATTTTATTTATGTTAATTTAGATAATATAAAAAATGTTTATCAATCTAAGGACTTAAAAATAAGATATTTATTCAAGTTTGAGAATATTTACTATTTAATTTCATTTATATGTGTTAATTTTGTTAAATATAATAATCATTTAATTTAAAAACTTAAAATAAGCTATTCAACTTTATTTTATTTATTATTTTTAGGAGATGAATATAAAAAATTTATATGCTATTTAAATTCATGAGTATTATTATTAGTATTTAAAATAAGTTATTTTGGATTTTTTAATTTAGATGTTTGTTAAAAGATTTAGAAGAGTTATGAAATATTATTTACAATTTTAATAAATAAAATAGGTACATTTAAGTTAATTGTTAAAATAATAATTGTAATAATAAAAAAAAAGTCACTTTTCAGTATATGCAGATTAGTTTAAAAATTTGAACGAAGATATCTTAATGAGTATTTAATGAAAAATTTTTTTTATTCGATTTCTACAATTCTGTAGAATTTAAATATATGTTTTTTTTTAATCTGGTTAGGTTCTCATCAAGATATCTTTGCTTAAAGTTTGGTACAGCTTGAATTTCTTTGATTTATATACAGATTAAAATTTTGAGTAAAGATATCTTGACAAGTACCTAACCAAATTCGATTAAATTTTTTTA